CCAAAGATGCCCAGCCCCTGGCACAAGCGGCTTTAGAAGTTAGGAGGACCGATGCCTCAGATGCTCGTATCTTCGAGATCGGAGTTTGTAATGCACGCTATTCTTCTCCGCTTGACTATTTGATCATTTCTTCGTCAGAACTCCCGCAGCAATATATAAGGGCTCCACGTAGAACGTTTGTGGATGGGAACCTCGTCTGTCTAACAAGTGGCAGTGTGAATAATCCCGCCCGCATCTGTATCGTTCCGAAGCGAATCACTTGTCTCCCTGAAACCTGCAAGCTGGTCGGTGAATTTGGCGGGTCTACGTTCTTCTCTGATGATTGGTTTTTGTCTCACCAGATACTGCCGTTCGACATGGGCCGCTCAACGAAAAGTCAACAACTACGTTCTTTAATCCGAATGCTAGCAGATGCCTCCGAAGTGATAATCAAGGAATGGGAATCCGAGGATTTCTCATCTTCTGATTTACCCACAGCGCCACTCCCGTCGCCTGAACTCTTCGAAGCACGCCGAGTTATGGTCGGTGCCCTTGGGATGTGTCTTGATCTCGTACAGGAGCCTGCAGTCCGTCTGACCGACATTTCCTGTGCACATTTCACTGCAAGGGCACTGCATGTCGCCGCATATGCCCGTGTTTCCGACATACTTGCGGATGCGGACCCCGTTGAAGGCATGTCTGTGAAGGTTATAAGCCAGAAGACGGGTATTGGCGAGCAGAAGCTAAGTAAGTTCAGCGTAGATCGGAGACTTTCTTCGAATAATCCAACTTCCTTATCTAGCTCGAGTTCTTCGGACACTTTGTTCCATCCACATCTTCTCTGAAGTCAAAGACGACCACTTTGCAAACAACCGCGCGAGTCAATGCCTGGTCAAGAATGAATATTTGCGAGCATGGATCCTGTTGCAGTATGCATTGTTTGAGTGTACAGTATACGACTCACCACGCTTAGCCCAATTTCACAGCGGGCTAGAGGTCTATACTGCCTCCGATAAGCTCCTTCCATTGTTGCTAGATTCTGTCAAGTCCAAATCGACGTCTGCCCGAGTGACAGCGTTCGCAGATGGCATAGGCACTGACCAGACGGCTTGGGAATATCTTGAGGAAGAGGTAAAAGGACCAGATGGCGTACTTGCACCCCGTCCTTCGTTGGAACTCTGGTCACTGGCTATGGTAGGCGGCGGGCACACTTTCGCATCTGGCATCTACAACGGTTCGTCTAATCCGTATGTCAAACACCTTCAAAATTGCGCTGAATGATAAAATGGCAGATTATCCTTGGGAGGCCTTAGGTTCGAGCACGATCGTCGATGTTGGCGGTGGCGCCGGTCAGTGCTAGTAGAGTATGCCTAGCGTCAATGCCGATCATTCATATGCTGCTTTGCTCGTGTAGGTGGTACAAGTCTCGATCTTTCGAAGATGTTTCCTAGTCTACACTTCGTGGTCGAAGACCTATCCAAGACAATTCAGAAAGCGGAGGGAGTTTGGGGACGTGAGAATCCAGAAGCAATCAAGAGTGGGCGGGTGAAGCTCTTGCCGTCCGACTTTTTCGAGGAACAGCCTGTGAAGGGAGCTGAGGTCTACCTCCTTCGACACGTCCTGTATGTTTATGCTCCATTTTCCTGTGATGTCTGACCTGGACGATCACATAGGCATGACTGGCCAGATGACGAATGCGTCACCATCCTGGCCAATCAACGCGCAGCAATGGGCCCCGGTTCAATCATCCTGGTGGCAGAACATGCCATCAACACTACAGTGGGTTCGCCTAGACTGAAACGCGCTCCTCCACCGTTGCCACCCAACTACGGGTACGCTCATCAGTGGGGGAATGTTCACGATTTAGTAATGATGGCCGTGCACAATGGCATGGAACGTACCCCGGAGATGCTTGATTCTTTGGCTAAGCGAGCGGGCTTGAAGGTCACCAGGATGTGGGAGTGTCGTGGGGTGATTGCGATTGCAGAGCTACATATAGACGAGTATTCACCGGAATGAAGATGTAGAATCATAGTTCTCACGTCTAGAGACATTCCTTTCGAAATCATCACGTCTTTGCTGCTGTCAATAATCCTGACAATCAGTTAGCGAGGGTTTGTCTCACACAATGTCATAAGTATTCGTGCTTAGAACATGCAAAGAATCATGGCCAGTCGGGGGAAGAGAAGAGGGCGATGCTGTAGTTGAACATGATCACGTGCACTTCCCTTCATGTTGCTCGACGAGTCGAATACGGGTTGGCGCATTACTGCCTTAGCTGACTGCCCCTCAACATACGTCTAGTGCAGTCCATAATCTCCTGAAAATCAAATTGCACCCGTTTTTCGGAGTATCTCATGCGCTCTGAGCTGGGAATGATAGATCACACCAAGGGAGCCACGCTCGCAATCGATTCGTGTCTTGCCCTCCCAAGCATAGGACCAACGTAAATTTTCGCTCGAAGGGAAGAGGGGGGAACTGTGTATCGTGAACTCGGACAACCTCTTAACTCTGAACATGCTCTACACCTTCCCATGCCACGTTCTGGGTATCACACTGCAGAGAAAACGGAGATGACCACGATCCAAATTCACTTTACGGTATATCATTGACTGCAACATGTCGAAAACCAGTACTGATAGTCACAACCAGAAAAGGGAAGTTGATCAGGCGCGTCAAGTGCGCGTCGCTCCAATGCTAACGCTTTATGTTCAGCATCGATTGCTCAAAAGATGAAGATGTACGTAAATCATGGTGGCGTGCATTCAGACTCATGGATAGGAATGCCGCGGAGGCAATACCATGGGAGTCGAAATCTCGTTTTAATTTGCTGCTCCGTATGTCCCGATTGAGCTGAAAAAGCGCAGAAAATTGTAATTGTGCGTGCAGTGACCCATTCCGACCGCTGTTGGACCAGCAAAAGTTCTTTCTTCCCAGACGCGGATTCAGAATACTGGCGCACGAATATTCTAGCGCATATGCCGCGCCACAACGCCCACGAGACTAAGGATGTCGACACTTCGGGTCCAAATCCACATCACTGTGCTGTGGACGTTCTCATCGTTCTGTTTTCGAATGTCTGTCATTTCCACTGATGTTTCTGACGATCAGCAGCCGAGTTATCGGAGCGCCAGGATTAATGACAGATGTCAAGAGCTTATGTGAACGTTACCCTTGTGCTGGTTAAACTTATTTGATGTGTGCTAAACCGCGGTATTACTGTTTTTTGTGCAGATAGAACGAAAGTAGGTCTCAAATACTGCTGACGAGGGCGCAAACTCTAAGTAATCTGGATTCTCTATCGCATGAAGGCAAGCACATCGTATCAGCGTGCATTCGTTCTCATTGCAATCGCTGCGCCCAATCCTAGCTGCGGTGAGTAACGTAAAGCGGATAGCAAGGAAACCTTGCTCAGTGCCTCATTTCTCTCTTTGCGATCCCCCTCCTACCCCCGTTTAATAGCGTACTACGTAGGACGTAAGTGATTTCCCGTTAAGCGCAGGTACTGCTCGAGAACAGCTGTCCTCATGCTTGCGAGACGGTTAATTCGCATCGCAAATTCGCTGTTGTGCTCAATAGCTCGCTAGGTACGTGTGGCCGGTTCAAACATGATTGCACGGAGATGCTCTCACTTTCAGAAATGCAACTCCTTCGATGTACCAGAAATAGCTTTGCCACAGCGGCTGTCTCGCATTGATATCGCCGTTCTCTCTCCCACCACTGTCACGCCAAGGTATATCTATTCCTATCGACTACATGTGCTCATGCCAACGTTGATGGTTGCATGTTAGCAGGAGTACGTCTGGCGAAGCGCTTCCCACATAGTCCTGTCAATTAAGAATCTTGTTTGTTACTTCGCCGCTCGTGAGTGGCTAGTTCAATATCAAAGTTGTTCATAGGTTGTGTCAGAGAAGGGTGCTTACCGTCCCCCCGTCCAATATTTGTATTTGCATTATTTAGCCTCCCGGAGGCGAGTAGAGGCGTCGGACGCAGACATGCAATATGCGGCCCGCTCATGGAACGTGAGCGGCTGAGTCTACCATAAAGACCCCCCTAGGAACTTCCGTTGGTACTATCCTCGCCCCATTCAATAATATATACAATGGGTGCTGCAGTTGACAATGTCCATCCACCCGTATGGCGGTCGCTCCTACGTCTAACCAGATTACATCTGTTCCCACTTGGATCTGACCTTGCGTTTTGGCCTTCAGGTATGTAACATATCACTTCATTGGCATTGATGCCTCTTCGACGGTCGCTCATGGTCTATTCTCATAGCCTGGGGCTTAACCCTGAGCGCATGCGCCACCGGACTTCCCCCTAAGCAACTAGCCAATGTCAGCTTCTGGTTCTTCGTGGGGGGAACCCTTCGACACAGCGCCGGATGCATATGGAATGACATATGCGACCGTGAATACGATCGCCAAGTTGGTAAGATGCATTCCATCGTTGAAGAACTTTGTACGACAAGGGAGCTGATGGGCACTTTATCGACAGAGAGAACGAAGAGCAGGCCTATCGCATCGGGCGCGATCTCAGTTCCGTCTGCGTTAATGTTATACCTGGCACACGTTCTCGCCTGCATCTCGCTCCTCATGCAGGCAGGCCCGGACGCGTAGGTTGCGGCTATACGACGATGTAGCCTTGGTACTGACAGCGGTGCTAGTACGCGGATTGGTCTGGTTAGCTTAGTCTTACTCGACGTACTGTACCCCTTCATGAAGCGATGGACGTCCTGGCCGCAAGTAATTTTAGGTGAGAAATTGCCGTATGGCCAGTGCATATCTCTCTCAGCACTTGTTCACCCATAGGTATTACATCCGCGATCGGCGTGCCTGTTGGGTGGGTCACTGTGGCGGGCAAATCAACAGGCGAGCAGGTTGTCGCTGCTCTCTTTGTTGGATGCATCTGGTATGCCATGATCATATTTCTCGCACGTCGTCACATTTGTAATAAGTCCTCCTACAGCTGGACCATTTATTGCGACACTATCTACGCATGTCAGGACCGACATGATGACCTGAAGGCCGGTGTGCACTCCACTGCCCTCCTGTTCGGCAACTACGTTCGCCCTGTCTGTGCTATATTTGCTGCAATTTTTGTCGCTTGTATGGCCACGGCCGGTGCTTTGAATGGTCAGGGTCCCTTGTTCTTCATCATCACTGTACTCGGCACTGCCGTGACGCTGGCGTGGCAAGTGGCCACTGTCGACCTTGACAACGGTGCTGACTGCATGAAAGCCTTCATGGTGAGCAATATACCGCTATATTCGATGCTTCACATCAACGTAACTATTTCGAATGGAAGGTTGATGCATACCTTAGTTATGGTATGTGGGCTGGAATGCTCCTTGATTATGCCTATAGGATGATTGTTTGAAGGGGGGAGCTTATGTTTCATCTTGCTTTATTCCGCTGCAGATTTGTGTTATGCAAAGAAGCCACTCTTTTATGTGCTAAATCTATAGATTTCGTTCTTTAACACCGTGTTAACTCGCCGTTAATCATGGCTCGCAACTGGGTGACGTATTGAAGCTGGATCGGATCGTCTCACGAAAACAGTGTGACTTACCTGCTACGCGCGGAGACGTTCAACCACAGCGGCAAAGCTTCGATCATATTGCTATGCATTCAGACCTTAGGCCTTATCATGCGTTTCCGATCCGTGCTCTCTTTTCATCAGCCACATAAGTAGAACTTGGGCTATGTACAAGACCGACGTGCTGTCATATCTGCGCTCGTTCGGCAACCTCCTTTGTGACCTCCGCGCATACAATCAGCAGAGCATTCCCGAGCTTCTCGAAGTCACTAATCTATGAGCCACGATATGCATGTCATGCGCCATTTAACGATCGCACGACGACGCTTCACGTACCTCGTTGTATACCTGCGCGCTTGCTCTCGTCCACCATCTGCCATCATAGTAAAACTGCGACGCATATACGTTGTGTTGGTTGAGCAACTTGTCCTGGAACATCAGGGTGACAGCCGACGTCGGCGCTATTGAGCTTGCCAACGGGATCTCGACGTTGATCTGAAACAAGAGTCAGCCGTCGCGTGTCAGAATACAGTGGGTGTGCAGACCATATTTGCAGTGAGTGCCTCCGCTTCATCAGAGTCAGCCGAAAACATTGTACGTGTGTTCAGGATTTCAGCGAGCCGTTTCCCGCCAGCAAGTGCCAATGCGCGGCAGTACTGGTTGATTCTCTTCTCGCCACCTAAGAAGCTTCGAAATTCTAGGGCTACACAGGGCGGTAATTGTCAAGTCATCCAGCCTTGCAGGGGAAAGACGCACCTGGCTTGATGCTCAGAGGTATTGTGAAGTCTAGCGTTCCGGTCCCTGAGACAAGTGTCAAAGGTAGGAAAGATCAGCAGTATGAAATGTCAACCTACAGAAGAACTTCGATTGGAGATCATCTTGTCCTCCATGTAAGTGTGCCCCATACGTGATGCTCGTAGGAAATGCGGACTTGATGATGTGATGATTGCTAGCAGGAAGCAATCAGCACTACTCTATTCGTCACTTCAAAAGCGACAAATAAACGCGGACCGTTTTGGCACATAGAGCAGTGCACAACCGTACTTAGTGTACATCCATTTTGAGGAGCTCTGGTTGCATGCACAGGTCCACCAAGTTCGGCTTTAAAGATGATAAGGAAAACGTACCGACACCCAGAAGTCAGGCGCTGCCTCTGTTAGGTTGATGTCTACTTCTTGGCCTAGCGAATGTGCCGCATCAATGACGCTCCACACTGACTCTTCTCTGCAGATCTGCACCATCTCCTTCCAGGGCATGTAGACAGAGGGAGTCGCCGAGATGGTATCCAACACCGCGACGATCTTGCCCTTGGAAATCCCGGACGCCGATCGGCGCTGTTCTGCCTTCAGGTTTTTAAGATACTCGCGAAATCGCTCAAGGATAGAGGCACGCGTCTCTGGGAAAGATAGAACGAACTTGGAGAGCTTTGGATGAGGAGGAGTATCGGAGACGTAACGTGCTGCAGCGCTGATGGTTCCAAACGTGCAATTGGCTAACAACACCTAGGGTAAGACACAAGAGGGAGTGTAAAGCTACGAACGTACTGATGGCGATGACATCGCCTTCCTCCCAAGTGAAGTTTCGCAAGATGACACTGATCCCATGGGAGACGTTCGGCACGAAGACACATTCGCTGGGATCTGCACCGATCAGTTTGGCGACCATTCCGCGCACCTCCTCCAGCATCGGTCGATAGTGGAACCAAATGAAGCGATCTGGATTCGCTGCGATACGGGCAGCCAGATCTTGGCTTGCATCCTCGACACGCCGCGGTATACCGCCCGCCGTACCTGAAAGTGGTACTCAGTAGCCAGCATAATCGATTGGATGACATACACTGACCATGGTTTAGGTTCGCGTACCCAGGTTCCATTGCAAAGAATGGTAGGGTGGCATGACCGAACTCCGGGTAATTCTCCATGCTACTAGAGTTGAGCCGATGTAATTTGCGCTAGTGATCGATAGGCACGACGTTGTTGAGGACGGGCGGGTCTGCCAAGGCAAACCGTATGTTATGGTAGCTCTTCCGAATAGCTTCGGGTAGAAGCATCGCTCTTACCAAAGCAGCTCCAGCCCACTGATATGGTGGATGGGACAACGAAGGCGCTGGCTGTCGGATGGTCGGGTTACGTCATGGTCCGCTGAGCTCGCATTCGCTCGATTACGAGGGAAGATCTTTCCTTCAGGTTGAGACAATCGTGGATCAAGGAAACCGGGCTCAACGGAGATGAGCAAGCAGAAGCTACAACTCGGCCCGCTTCGTGTGGCCGCGACTTAGAATGCTCGCGCGTTCTCATGTTCGGCTCATGATTTCGAGTGGCAACCTGTTGCGACGAGTAGTCGTACGGTAAGCCTGCGCGTGTTCTCATGTCACTGGTCTGCGCGATAAACTCTCGCCTTACCCGATAGACAAACCAAATCGTATCAATTCTCAGACGAATATCAAACCGCGTTCCATGCAAGGTGTATCTTTCCTACGGCGAAACACGTGCACGGAACTCACCTGGTATCGTTCCATCGGGAGAAGCACGCATGCCGTACATGAGAACTCTTCCACTCTACTGGCATAGATCGGTAACGTGCCGCAAATAAGACGTTCCGATGATCAGAAGATTGCTGCGCGGCCCCGCTCATCCCTCACCCATCCGCCCGTGGCACAGCCTCAATGGCCAAGTTCCCCATAGCAGAGGCGGAGCTCGTTGCCATCTTCACCGAGAGTATTACCTATGGAATCCATATCGCAACATTCACGATGTGCATGTGGACGCTGTTGCGCAGGTCGAAGGACTTGGAACGACCTGTAAATGTGACGTTGCTCTTGTTTTCCATTACACTCTTTGTCCTCGGCACGCTGGACATCGCTTTCAATTTCTATCGCAATCTAACCGCCTTCATCTTCTACACGGGACCTGGTGGAGCGGGTAATGTCTTTGACGAGCTTTCGAACTGGGTGAATACCTCAAGGGTAAGCCTCACCCGGTCATAGATTGCCTCCATGGATCCTCATAACTGCAACGCAGAGCGCCTTTAACGTATTCGCCTTCGTCGTCGCAGATGCTATCCAGGCGCGCAGCGATTCCTTGTCGCAGGAGATAACGTAAATGCTAACAGCCCGCTTCCAGGTTTATCGCCTCTGGATCGTCTATACTCGCAACTGGCGAGTAGCCTTCCCTCCCCTGTTCTTATGGTTTGCCGGGCTGTCGTGTGCTATATCGGTCGTATATTACTGCGCTACGCTCAATCTGATGACGGACTTGTCCGGAGCGACAATGCTTGACAACTTCCTCGACGCCTTCCTCGTCCTATCAGTGAGCATCAACGTTATTACCACATGTACGTGTTTGTCCGGTCCCTGAGTGCGCGCGCACTTAATGCGACTGTATGCATATCTCAGCCTTGACTCTGTATCGCATCTTGCTGATCCACCGGTCGACCTCGCGTTATTTCCCCAGCAGTTCAGGAAAAACCGTGCGAAGCAGCGTGACGTGGACACAGCTCTTCCGGATCCTGATCGAGTCTGCTCTTCTCTATACCCTCATTTCAATCGTCTTCTTGGTTGTAAACTTGACCGGCAATAATGCAGTATACTGCATCTCGGACATGGTAAATCACTCACCTTCTAAGACCTCGGTTGTTGACTAATCTGAGATTGTATCCTTCGCCTTTCAGAGCTTGCAGATTGCGGGAATACAGTTCGACCTGATCATCATACGCGTAGGGTTGGGAATTACTATGGAGCAGGAGCACAC